ACAACTTACCTGTGGTGCACCGGGTGCCTGTTACAGCCTCCAGGAGAGCAGTGAGCCTCCTGTGCAGTGAGCTTCTGGTTCTCCTCGAGGCACATGACCAATGTACACAAGGTAAGTTGTAAGTGCACCAGGGCACTCCACATTTATCCTTATATGTATACTTCTGTATATAACAAGTTTGGGGTATGTTTTTTTTTGCTCTTTAAAGGTTCACTATAGACACCAGACCCACTAGCAGGACCAAAGTTCAGTGTCTCCACTCCCTGCACAGAGACATCGAACACGCTCCTGTAGATGTTTTGACACAATATCTCTATGAGAAGATACATGTCTATGATTGCTGTACATGTGCACTACCCCCCAATGCTTTCATATTGGGAAGCATTAGGTTAGCTGAGATCATCAGCATTGATGATCTCAGCAAGGTGGGGGTTGATTGTGGTGAGACCAACGCGCCGAGGGAAGAATCACAAGTAATATGCTTTATTTTAAGTTAATTCGGGTAGAAAGGGGGAGGCTAAACTGATATTATAACACTTTAGCATGTGGAACATGCTTGTATTCCTAACACTATAGTGTTCTGTTAATGTTGGGTGAAATGATTAGTTTCCATATTATATCCCACAGTGGTTTTTGCTCCTTTCTTCTAACTAGAATCTATTGCATGTGTATTTTAAATCAATTTCCAATCAATCCACAACACTGTTGCCAGGTCTGTCTGCATCTCCAAACACTCCACATTAGCTTTCATTATGCAGATTCATTCACTTCATTCCAATAGCCTCTGTTTACATAGTAACTTAATCAGATAGCAATTTAGAGGGTAAAAAAATTGTAACTTCATAACTAGTTTTTCTATGTAAGCCAGCAACCTACAGTTGTGAAAGGCATCTCTTGAATTATTCTGTACAACCTCTCTTATCAACCAATTTCATATTTTAAATAATGTATACAATGAATCTTTTCTGCTGCTTTAAGTGAAATCTCCATTCCTCAACTCTCAAGAGATTGTCCATTGTTCAATACTGTTACGGAACAGGCCACCAGGCAGCTATTTCCAGTGACCCTGAATTTACTTGCATAATAATGTTTATATGGAATTAATGTATACATTTAAATTTAAAAATGTTACAACACTGGTCAAATACCCTTAATAATCAAACATTGTAAAGATGACCATAAATACCCTTAAATATGTATCTCCTTAATTTTATCTCACATATGCTCTCCATTACATATATAGCTTCTGTATTGTGCTTTGATAACTCCATGTGCTTCTGGCCAATAACTATTTGAAACATTACATGTTCATGAACCAGATCAGGTGCTTGACAGTAACTCTGTTATCTAACAGCAAATGTCATTAAAGGGTAATCCAATCACCATGACTACATCTGCTTTTCGAAGTGGTCATAGTGGTAGGAATCTGTATGTGCAGTGTTTCTGCATGAAATCCCTAACAGACAGAATAATATGCACTTTTGTGCCTGGGGCTAGTTGCATGCATTACTCTGTTCCTGGCTTCCTAATGTCAATTCTGCGAAAAAATGATGTCTGTCATTAGAGTGCCGGTGACAGGCACAATGATCATCTCCCTTGCAGCGCTATCTGTAAGGGGAAGCATTCAACTTACATCCCTCCCTTTGTGAGCTTCCTTAATCACCTCCCCACCAATGATTGTAATTTAATTTAAATTTTGAATTCTTTTTAATTCCCTCCTCCGCTCTCTCCTTACCCTGTCCACTCTATCTTCTACCCAGCTCAGAGCAGGTAGAATGTTACAGTAAAATGCTTTTCAATGAGAAGCATTTGATTTGAGTACCAGTGGGCAGTGGTGATGTCAGATGGAGGCATGGAAATCAGCGCAGGTAGCTTACCACAGTGCTTTACTAGATAAGTTTATTCCTTATTTGCAGGATTATATGAGGGATAGCTATTTAATAATGCTCAGTAGGGCATTTAAAACCAAATAAAAATATTTTGAGTAACCCTTTAAGCTCAGTTATGAAGATATACTATTAAATGGAAACCCTAAACAGGGCAACTCCGTTTTTATCAAAGCCCAGCTTTTTGTTTGAGCTAAAATAATGCCACATTCTCTCTAGAAATCTTTCCCCGAGAGCAAGGCAATGGTAGACAATAAGCACCAAGGGTGACCTAGCCCAGTTCTTAAAGCTACAGCCTATTGATGACATCCAAGCATGGACAGATATAAACAGATAAAGTAGAAGTCACGTGTCCACATTATCCCGGGCATTCGGGTGCTAGGAAGAATATTGGGCTTTGGGTCCTAGGAACCTTGTTTATTTTGAACCTCAAAATGGTAAAAAATGGTTTGACAAAAACTGTAAAGAATTCCACCCAAAGTCTTGCAACTGCATAATGTTGTAGTTGTTATGGTACTTAAAGGAATGTAACTGCTTAATCTCATTGAAGTGGTTATAGTTCCTGGAGCCGGTGCTATCCTTCCATTCAGCGTTAAACAATTTTTAATGTTTTAATGCTAAATGAAGGTCCCTGTCACCCCATCCCATCTGAGCAGGTTGGACCAATGGATAGCTGTGATTGGCTAAGAGTGCCAGCTGACCATTGCTGGTACAGATTGGTATGGCTAGAAGGAAGTGTGTAATCTCTGCCTTAGCCATACCTCTAGTGGGGACCAAGCTATGGGTAGCCAGGGATCCTCATTCAGAGTCAAACAAGTTGAAAATGTTTGAACACTGAATGGTGGGACAGTGCCACAATTCAATGAGATGAAATGTAGTGCCTACAGTGTCCATTTAAAGTGTTCCTTTATTTACTGTTTTTGACCCAGTTCCTTTTTTGACCACAGCAAACCAACCTTTAAATGGACACTGTAGGCACTTTACCTTTTAGCGTAAGGCCTGACCACTCAAGGTTCTGATAATACACCTTTGTGTCTTTTCTACTATATACTTTGGTAAAGAACAAACCTGTACTTTGTTGATGGATTTTACAATCATGACATGTGGAAATAAATATATTTTTTCTGTCCAAACTCTCCTTTCGATTTCAGAGTTTAGAATCACACAATGTAACAAAAAAACTATGAAATGTACCTAGTACCTAAAATGTTGTTATAAAGTAATACAGATTCATTATTTGAAATAGCTCATCTTTTATGCTTAGAACTGAAAAGTCCATTAGCCTTGCTTGTCGCTGTAGTGCAGTACATTGTGTCATATAAGCATATACCAAATATCCTTTGAGCCTGTTACCTAGGGATATAGAGGTTGCAATTTTACCATTATGAGAAATACTCTACAAAAATCAACACAAAATTAATCTGTGTCCTAAGCAGTGCTTTCATAGGGCACAGACAAGGTAAACAACATTCGGTAAATTGTATTGAGAGAATGGAAAATTGTACATTGAGAGAAAAAGATTAAAAAATGAATAACAAATAGTTATAGTTTAAAATTGACAATATATTACAATATAGTGCAATGAGAAGTAGTCATACACAAGTGGCATAACAAATAATGGCATATTGAAACAATGTGGCCATGCTCGTATGAACTACATCTTAAAAAGAATAGAAGGGAATGCCTATTAAGATAGATTAGAATGTTTCAGATTTGATCTCAAAGTTTCAGGTCTGACAGCTGACTGACACGCTTTTGGGTCAAGCCATTCTTCTCTGCAGGGAGGGAAATAATGTTTAGCTACATCTCGGCAAGTACTGATTTGTGCCACAAAAACAGAGATATCAGTGCATCAGTATCTATATAACAATATACATAACAACACAGTGAGATAGCTTAGTGATTAGTGCTCCAGGTGTGTTATTTTTTGTTTAAAGGGACATGCATCATGTGACAATTATTTATTTATTTTAAACCAGCATGCACTTTTAAATAAATATACAAACCAAAATAAGAAAAGAAATACTTTGAAAAATATGTAATAAACATTTATAAACTTACTTTGAATTTGGTCAGATTGCATTGTTGGGCACGTCTCTCATATAGGGGAATATCTTCAGACCTTAGCTTGGTTGCTTCATCTAAGTGTTGCTTCTAAGTGTGTAGTTGGAGATATTCTGTAAAGTTTTACAGAAGCTTCAACTGTCTAAGAGTTGTGCTAAGAGCTTTCTTTTCTACTGTTACAGGTAAGATTCATCTGTAGGAAAAGGTTACTGATTGCACAAGGTTTGAATTCCTGTTGGTAATTATAAGGCATTTGATTTGATTAGTCAGTTACTTGCTATTGATTGCTGTTTAAATTAGCTATTGTTTGCAAATAAGCAGAGGCCTACCCAGGTGTTAAACATTCCTAGTGGGTGGTGATTTTAGGAGCTATATAAGAGTTGTCATTAGCTTGGCTAATATAACTTAGTTGCTTCATCTAAGTGTTGCTTCTAAGTGTGTAGTTGGAGATATTCTGGAGAGTGTTGCTTCTAAGTGTGTAGTTGGAGATATTCTGGAGAGTGTTGCTTCTAAGTGTGTAGTTGGAGATATTCTGGAGATACCCTGGAGGTAATCTGAGGTATTCAGGAGGATAAAGAAAAAAGTTAAGATTTGTTTGATTTAAATTATTCTCCTCATTGGAATGGCAGACTTAGTTCAGTGTAATAGTTTCTATGCATTTGTTTCACGTTCCACTTTTTGGAGATTTGGTTGTTGTCTAATCTGTAGACAGTTCTCTATCTTGCGGCAGGAGATTGTATTTTTGAAGTCTGAGATTTATAAACTATCTGGTGAACAAACTCAGACTGGAACTGCTGCAAAGCCAATGCCGCAGAGACATACTAGGAATAGCAGATGGATTACTGTAGGATCTGGTAGACTTAGAGTTGTGGATAAAATACATTTTGCACAGTCTGTTGCTCTACATAATTCATTTTCTGCACTTTAAGAGTGTAATGGTGTTGTGGAGAGAGGCACTGAGGCTAGTGGTGTTGTGGTGAGAGGCACTGAGGCTAGTGGTGTTTTGGAGAGAGGCACTGAGGCTAGTGGTGTTGTGGAGAGAGGCACTGAGGCTAGTGGTTTTGTGGAGAGAGGCACTGAGGCTAGTGGTGTTGTGGAGACCGGCTTGGAGACTATGGGGAGGCCTAATAGAAAGCAGTTGTTGTTGGGGGATTCCATCATAAGAGGGGTGGAGATGGACAATGGTGGTCTTGTGAGGTGTCTTCCTGGAGCTACTGCTCACAGAGACAGGAGACGTATCTGTAATATTGTTAAGCAAGCAAAGCAGGAAGGGGAATTGGATGTACTTGTCCATCTAGGGACAAATGACTTGGCTTGCAATGACGTTTCAGAGGTTAAGGAAGTTTTTAGTGTTTTTGCCAAGTATATACGGCAGGTTGCTTCCACACTGTCATTCTCTGAAGTTCTGCCTGTGCATAACACTCAGAACAACAGGCGGATGCGTATTAGGGACTTAAATTTGTGGCTTGGTGAATGGTGTCGGGAGCAAGGATTTAGTTTTATTTCTCATGGTAGCTCTGTTTGGAATGGAAATAAGCTGTACAAAAAAGATGGTTTGCATCTTTCTCAAAAAGGAACAAATGTTCTCAGTGAGCAGTTCAGAGGTTTTGCTAGGATGTATTTAAACTAGGGGGGGGGGCAAAAGGGTGATAAAACATCAATCCAATTGTCCCCCAAAACAAGGACAGAAGGTGCCTGTAGCAAGTGTGTTTAAAATGATAAGCTTAGAGTCATGTCTACAAATGCTCGCAGTTTAGGGAAAAAGATCCATGAACTTGTGGCAATAATGGCAACTGATAGTGTAGATTTAGTCGCTGTTACTGAGACATGGTATAATGAGAAAAATGACTGAGACATAGCAATACCAGGATACTCTTTATATAGAAAAGATAGGGAAGGCAAGAAAGGGGGAGGGGTGGCCCTGTATGTGAAGGATAGCATAAAATCTAGCCTAATAAAAGTTAGTGAGGCAAACATAGAGTCTGTTTGGGTTACGTTAGAATTTGGTAATCACACAGTAACTCATGTAGGTGTGATTTATAGGCCCCCAGGACAAACTGAAGAGTTAGATAATCTTCTAGTTGAGGAAACAGCTAAAATGACAATGAAAGGGGAAGTTATCATCATGGGTGACTTTAATCTTCCTGATGTAAATTGGAAAACAAAGTTAGCTACTTGTGCCAGGAGCACACATATTCTAAACTCCCTACTGGGATTGTCTCTAAAACAAGTTATTGAGGAGCCAACTCGTAAAGAGGCCATACTAGATTTGGTGTTAACAAATAGAGATTTGGTATCAGATATTACTGTAGGTGAAAGTTTAGGATCCAGTGATCATCAGTCAGTGTGGTTTAATATAAGAACAGTGACTGAGTCACACCACACAAAAACAAAAGTTTTAGACTTTAGAAAAACAGACTTTTCTAAAATTAGAATATGTGTAGAGGAGTCATTATCAGACTGGAGCAATTTAAATGGAGTCCAAGAGAAATGGGATTATTTAAAAGTTGCACTATTGCGGCAACAGAAAATTGCATTAGGCTTGTCAGTATGGTCTAGCTGACTGCCTCAATGAATATTTTTGTTCTGTATTTACAGATGAAAATTAAGGAAAGGGACCACAGTTGAGAAAAAGGATAAATGAGTCATTTATTACACGTGAGTTTACAGAGGAAGAGGTTCTATTTCAACTGTCAAATGTAAAGACAAATAAGTCAATGGGACCTGATGGAATACACCCAAAGCTATTAAAAGAGCTTAGTGGTGTACTAGCAAAACCATTAACAGATTTATTTAACCAATCATTGTTAACAGGAGTAGCCCCAGAAGACTGGAAGTTAGCGAATGTTGTGCCCATTTACAAGAAAGGTAATAGGGAGGAGTCGGGCAACTATAGGCCAGTGAGCCTTACTTCAGTAGTGGGGAAAGTGATGGAAACCATGTTAAAGGATAGGATTGTTGAACATCTAAAAACACATGGATTTCAAGATCAGAGACAACATGGGTTTACTTCAGGGAGATCATGCCAAACTAATCTTACTGATTTTTTTGATTGGGTAACTAAAATTATAGATCAGGGTGGTGCAGTAGACATTGCTTACCTAGATTTCAGTAAGGCTTTTGACACTGTTGCACATAGAAGGCTTATCAATAAACTGCAATCTTTAAGTTTGGATACCAATATTGTTGAATGGGTAAGGCAGTGACTGAGTGACAGGCAACAGAGGGTTGTAGTTAATGGAATATATTCGAAGCTTGGACTTGTCACCAGTGGGGTACCTCAGGGATCTGTACTTGGACCCATTCTCTTTAATATTTTTATTAGTGATATTGCAGAAGGTCTTGATGGTAAGGTATGTCTTTTTGCTGATGATACTAAGATATGTAACAGGGTTGATGTTCCAGGAGGGATAAGCCAAATGACAAATGATTTAGGTAAACTAGAAAAATGGTCAGAATTGTGGCAACTGACATTTAATGTGGATAAGTGCAAGATAATGCATCTTGGACGTAAAAACCCAAGGGCAGAGTACAGAATATTTGATAGAGTCCTAACCTCAACATATGAGGAAAGGGATTTAGGGGTGATTATTTCTGATGATTTAAAGGTAGGCAGACAATGTAATAGAGCAGCAGGAAATGCTAGCAGAATGCTTGGTTGTATAGGGAGAGGTATTAGCAGTAGAAAGAGGGAAGTGCTCATGCCATTGTACAGAACACTGGTGAGACCTCACTTGGAGTATTGTACACAGTATTGGAGACCGTATCTTCAGAAGGATATTGATACCTTAGAGAAGGTTCAGAGAAGGGCTACTAAACTGGTTCATGGATTGCGGGATAAAACTTACCAGGAAAGGTTAAAGGATCTTAACATGTATAGCTTGGAGGAAAGACGAGACAGGGGGGATATGATAGAAACATTTAAATATATAAAGGGAATCAACACAGTAAAGGAGGAGACTATATTTAAAAGAAGAAAAACTACCACAACAAGAGGACATAGTCTTAAATTAGAGGGACAAAGGTTTAAAAATAATATCAGGAAGTATTACTTTACTGAGAGGGTAGTGGATGCATGGAATAGCCTTCCAGCTGAAGTGGTAGAGGTTAACACATTAAAGGAGTTTAAGCATGCGTAGGATAGGCCTAAGGCTATCCTAACTATAAGATAAGGCCAGGGACTAATGAAAGTATTTAGAAAATTGGGCAGACTAGATGGGCCGAATGGTTCTTATCTGCCGTCACATTCTATGTTTCTTACTCATCCATCTCAATCTCTGACCAGTACATTAAAGGGACAAAATAGTTACGAGAACAAATATAGTTTAATGTAATTGTTCTGGTGTGTGTATAGTATGCCCCTGCAGGCTCTTTAATGTAAGCACTGCCTTTTCACCTATAGTGTCAGCCAAGGAAGCAGATCAGGGACAGAGCCAGCACTGGCAGACTGGAATAAAGTTAATATACTAATATATTTAGAGGGGCAAGGGAGGGCCAGGGGTGGTCTAGGTAGTGTTTGTGTTCCTGACCCTATAGCTTTTCATTATTTCCCTTTCTGCTAAAGAACTTTTGTAAATTAGTGGAAACTTTATCACATAAACTCCTCTAAGGATTATATACATTAGATTTGTGCATGGCAAATTTATTTTCCAAAAATAAAGAAAAAAGTCTGTGCATCTAAGTAGGAGGAACAGTAGAAAAATCTAGATGTATGTATTGATATATATATTTAATCATTTAATATTTCTCTGAATAAAATGTAACTTTTAGTGACAGTCTCCAAGCCATCAACCATCTTTTTTCCCATCAATCATCTTTTTTTTTTTTTATTGGTGCGACACGCAGAATTACAATTCACAAATCAAAACAAATCAAAACAAACATGCTCAATCAACCATTGTGCATTTCATTTGGTTTGTGATTCGGTTACATTTCGGCTCAGATTTCGGGAATTCAAACAATCACCCGATCGGCCCAAATTTGGATAAATTGCACTTAAGAATTAAACAAATCCCCAGATAAGGAGCTATAACAAGAAACAATAAAAGAGAAGTTTGATTTTTACACTGAACATATTGCAATGTTTTTTGATAGACAGTACGTTGTGCTATTAGATGATGTTCTAATTAGAATATAATTGGCATTCATGATGACAAAGCCCTTAGCCGTTATGAATGTTCCCAGTGTTCTCATATACTCTATTATGTAGCAACGCATTTGCTTGGTCTTTCCCTAAACTAAGAGTAATCCAGACGTGGACCCCACGCTTTCTGTGCCTAGGGAGGTATCAGGGCCCAAAGAAGGCCAAAACAATTGTCCGGGGTTTCTGTATCTCTCGTACAGAGAGGACTTGCCAGCATTTAGGTTCTGGACTGTCCTTATAGGTGGGATCAGTCTGATATGTAAATAGTGCAGGTTCCCTCTGTAATTGCTCAAGTTTCCTTTTGCCCATTCTCAGAGTTTTCGTAATCTCTGTTTTTGTAGCAATTCAGTTAAAAATGATGCTAGGGATGTATTAATGAGACAGGTGGCTTATTATACAACTAAAATATATGTTATATATTTGATTTGTATTTAATTTGATTTAAGTTGATATGCTGGCTTCATATTTTAACAATAATGGTTCATGTACATATGTATCTGTGTTATAATCTATATTGATTTATAGTATTTAATAGCATGAATTGTTATGTGGGATGAACTCAGATTTGTTATTTTTTTTTTTAAATCAGGTTATATTGTGCATTATGAGACAAAAAATTTTTATATGGTATATTGGGAATTTTATGCAGGAACATTCAGTTATTTCATATATGCAAATGAACCCACACGTTTATTTGATTTTGACTGTGAAGTGATTTGTCTTGAAGTTATAACTATGCAATGGCCTCTTGTACTTATTTCACTGTAGTATTTTCACAGTTTTGTAGATGAAATCAGTCAGGGGGAATTTGAGACAATCAGGTAGAATTAATGATCACTACTTGTAATCAATGAAACAGTGAAAAAAAAACAAAAAAAAAACACATCATATGCCCAAAACACTAATGAAAAAAAAAAAATCTTATTCTAGAAAGATTTCCCCTCAAACAAAATGATTACAGATTCTGGAGTTAACATTGCATTTAAATTGTTCCAACGTACCAACCTATCGCGTTTACAATTACAACATTGAGAAGTTTATTTGATGTACCACTTTACCTTGATATTTACCGGTTACTGTAGAAACCAACAAGATGCTCCCAATGGCAAATACAAGTTTGAAACATGACCT